TGCTTTTCTTCTGTCATCCTATAAATATAATATAACTGTATTTGAAGTATCTTAAATATAATATATGAATATACTAAAAATGGTAAAGTAGTATATACTACCACATGGTCAGTGGCGGAGCGTGAACGAATGGAGTCAGGGGGGATAAACAGCAACACACGCCAAAAACGGCTAGAAGATTAGAGTGGCCGGGTAAATAGAATTGCGTTTAACAGTAGTATTAGCTGCTCATTGCATCAAATTCTTTTGGAAGGGCGGACAAGACCCGGAATTGTCCCTCCGACACTCTGCCCCTACACATGGTAGTATATGATATGTGGGTATAACTACACCCGGTTGTAGGATGTATTCTCCGTTAATCACGTATTTATGAAATGTTCATCATGAATGAAGAATATGTTATGTTGGGTATTTCCAAAATAGTAATCATGTAGTAAATATATTCATTGCATATTTAAGAATATTAATCGTTTATTTAAATAATGTTCATCATGTATTGACAAATCCTTATTGGGTAATTAAAAAATGTTCATCAGGTATTAAAAATTATGTTTTTGTATTTAATAATTGTTCGTCATTCACTAAAAAATATCTGATATTTTAAAAAATATTTTATATTTAAAACTATCCAAGTATTTGTAAAAATATAGTCATATATTTAATAAAATGTTCATGTACTTTTTTTGAGGGAAATGTTCATGTACTTTTAACGATTTTTCATGCATATTTGATAAATATTTTGTAAATAATAAAATCACGTAATTTGGATTGTTCATATATTTAAAAACTGCTCACATCTTTTTAAAATGTTTGTACACTTGTAAAAACACAAGCTTATAAAAATGTTTTGTATATTCTTTAATAGCGTTCACACACTTTTAGAAAAAATATGTATTTTTAAAAAGTTTAAATGTTATAAAAGGAATGACAAACATAAAGAGAAAACAAAAAAGGAGAACAGAAAAGGTGCAGAAAGAAGAAAGAAGCAGAAAAGATAAAAAAGGAGAGAAAGAAGCAAAATAGAAACACCGAATCAGTGAAAAAAAATGCCCGCTAATGAGCCTGCTCATGCATGCTTCGACTCTTAAGCAAGCGCAAGTTATAACTTGCAATAAGCGAGATATAGCACTGGCGGCAATTTTTTGTATTTGTTTGCTTCTCTCAACTATTGCTCGTAGAGCATATGCATTGTCCTAAGGAGAAACTATTGGTCTATTTCCACATACAGACCACTATCATCTGATTTCTTACTTGCGTCGAAATAGGAGTACGAAAATAAACGAACGGAGATACTTTGGTTTATTTTCCTAGGAACCTTATTTTGGTGAGCATTTTGGAAAAAACCGATTTTTTGCTATTGCGGAATTGCAGAAACAGCTCAGCCAGCAGTTTTCTCTACTTTGCTAGGATTCTGGTGTGATTATCCTGCCATTAATATGCTACGGAGAAAGTTTTGAAGTACTGCAGCTAGTGACTGCCGCTCTCTTTCATGCATGGGCCCGCAGAAGATTTCTTCCAGCAATTAGATTCCCAAGACAGTTTTGTACTATTCCTCGACACTCCGAATTAGCGTTCGAACAAAATCGCAGTCGTATTTTTGTTTTGTTTTGAGCCGAGTCAAGTCGGTGGTGCATCGTTATCTGGTGGACTGGAAATTCTGGGAACAAAACGCACATCGGCTTGGCCGACTTAAGGGAACCGGCGT